GTAGTAGTAGTAGTAGTAGTAGTAGTAGTGGTCGTAGTAGTAGTGGTAGTAGTAGTAGTAGTAGTAGTAGTAGTAGTCGCTACAACTCCCGGCATTGCTTTAAAGCAAGCTGCCTGCCTCGCAAAAAATCCCTACCTGGCAGTTGACTCATGCTGGAGGCCTTTTGCACGTTAAAGGATCCAGATCTGCGGGTCAGCCATGTTCCAAATCCAGTCTCAACTACCCCGACCCCAATTGCCATATGTTTGGATGCCTTATTTCGTGGGTAGGATCCTATGATTGGACCCTTAAGTAAACCCTTAACCCAATGCCCTAGAGCAAACCCAAAACACGCCAGTGCTTCACAGGGAAAAGCTCTCCGTGGCGCTCGGCACAAAATGAGGGAACGCTGGAAGCTTGCATGGCAACACCAACCTGCTCTAGAAACTACGGCGTGCCTCGACCGACACTACCAAAGAGCCTTGCCTTGCCGAATTCTACAAGTACTGCCGACCCAGGTGACTTGTTTCAGAACGGTCGCGAAAAGCTGTAGTACATACTTGCCGGTCTTGGCACCCGGCCTTGATACTAAAGAGCCGAGGACAAAACAAAGAGCCCTGGGTCAAAATCCTCAGAGCCTAACCCCTCAAACCCAAATGCCATCAATCCTAAGAATCCTAGACCCGATCCGCCGGTAAACCCAGGGCGCCCGACGGCTAAACTCCGCAAAGCCCCAGGCCCTTAAAGTCATGAAGCTAGAGCTTATACATCCTCAGCTTTGTACGGTTAAGGGTTTTGTAGTCTAAACCCTATATGTACATCGAATTTGGAAGCCCTGAATCTGGGAGGCTGGGGTTAAGACCCTTCCAGCGCGTTCTGCCGATGTGGCGGCAGCACCGGCAGCAGACCTATGCTAGCCTCGGAGGACAGCTGCGTCGGGCCAAAGCGTCGGAGTGCTTGTGGGGCCTGACAGGATTCACTATTTTAGTCAATAGAACTCTAAGCCCTGAACACCCTTTTTTTAATGCCAGTTCATCTGGCTGTCTGGCTGTCTGGCTGGCTGTCTGTCTGTCTGTCTGGCTGGCTGGCTGGCTGGCTGGCTGGCTGGCTGGCTGTCTGTCTGTCTGTCTGTCTGTCTGTCTATCTGTCTGTCTGTGCCATCCATTATTGCTGTCTTCGGAAGCGCAGCGGCCGTATTTCCAAGGACAGGAAGTCTCGAACCCTGCATCCTTGGAATAACCCTTCTGGTAACCTTTATAATGACCCTCCTAGAAACCTTTATAGTAACCCTGTTTTTGCAACCCGCATAGTAACCTTATCGTCACCCTAGAGTAAGCTTGAAGCCAACTGAAAAACAACCAGCAGCATAGAGCTGCGGCGGCACGGCGACGACGACGTACCTGCCGGGCAGGCTTCAGGGTTTAAGGGTTCGGGGCTTAAGGGAAGGGCTTTGAGCTTACTGAGCAGGCGGTCAGAAGCATGTCGTCCTCTGTACGTTCTACAGTGATTCTACCGAGGCCGAACTGAACTGCATGTTGGCATGCCCGCACACATATCTTCCGGCCATGTCTTGAGCGGATGCACTAAAACTACGTGAGGGCTGATGACTATTGGTCCTGCTGGTTACACATTGTGGAAGATGACTTCAGAGCCTGTATATCACCCAAGCTCGAACCGCTGCTCCTGCTGCTCTATTCATGAGCTCCTGCATTATACACAGTTCTGTGAGCGGCTGGCTCACTTGGAGCTGTACGTAACATCTTTGACCGTCACCTTTATGGACTCACCGGAGAACTCGATTGCAGATACCTGGACTGCTGGCGAATGGAACGCTGCGAAGCAAAGAAGGCTATGATGCGTTCTTGAGATTGCTGCTAGCTTGCGATGCTCTTAGCTACAGCGGGAGTATCAACCAGGAAAGGTGGTATTCTCCCATCAGATATGAATCTCAGGATCCCGTTGCTGAGAAACGGAAGAGTAGAATCGGGTTGGACTATAAGACGCAAGCAATCCGAATCGCCGCGAGCTTCGCCATTGGTTGGTAAATCTGTGTGTAAACTCAAGCATGACATCATTACCACGAGCGTAGTGATCGTCATCGGCATCGTCGTCTGTGTATTGTCATCGTCATCCTCCTCCTGATCGTCATCAGCCGCACCACCATCACCGTAACGGCAACCATCAAAATTGCAATTTTCGGGTTTTTCCTACAGTTTCATAGGATCTTTTTTGGTGAGTTTCGGGTTTTACCTACGGTTTCGTAGGATCTTTTTGGGACTTGTCGTTCAAGAACCTTTGCCAGACCAGGAGCTGGGCTTGCTGTTTCATGGCTTAGGGTTTCTCGAACTGAGCCCAACACCCTAAACCCCAAGACCCCCAAACTTTGCAAGGGTGCTGGAGAGGACAGAATGACCGCATCGCCCAGGTCTGCGGCGATCCGCTTCGCGATCGACTCGCAACAGGGTCTTGTTGATGCATAGCTGTGGTACCTATTGTCATGGTCAGTGGCTTTTGTTGCGACTAGAAAGCAGTGTTACTGTTGGTGCTATCGCTATTACTTGTCTGATGATGCTGATGATGGCGGCTAAACCCTAAACCCTAAACCCACAGGGCAAAGTGTATCATTATAGGTTTAGGGTTCAGGGTTTATGAAGTTTAGGGTATTATAATTATGCGTGTCCGCTCGTGTCTTTTATTCAACGCCGAGGGATTCAGGGTGCAGAGTGCTTGTCGGCAGGAGACCGAGGCAACCACCGAGCAGAAACAGATGATATCACAGGACAATATAGTATATAATATGTGATTCAATAATGTACGATCATATATATATATATATAGGTATGTTTATATATAATCATAATGGAAGTAGCAATACTCATAATAACAATAATCATAATCACAATAATATATAGTAACAAACAATATATGTATATCATAGTCTGAATCTGTTGTCCTGTAGCCTCACAAGGCCTCGGCAGGGCTTAGGGGTTGGGCTCCACGGCTCTAGCGGTTTAGGCTTTGGTTGTTCCTCGCAAACTCCCTTTGGAGAGGCCAGGGATTCAAGCTTCACTTCTGTGGAATAGTAAGCCTGTCGCCAAGGGCTCAGAGTTTAGGGTTGGAGTTTCGCGTTCACCATAGCAGGTGGTTCCGTGAATTGCCCTCAGTGTTTGCAGTAACAACGAGCTTTCTGGTTTCGATTAGAAGCCTGAAGACAAAGAAGAACCACAACAACCATCATGACGAGAGAAGAAACAGGCAGGGATGCGAACAATGAGAAGTGCTGAAGCGGAGAAGGAAAGAATGATGTTGATGACGATGTTGCTAGTGATGCTGATGATGATGGCCGTCATGCTCATACATGATCCTTAGCATGGTGCTTTTCTTGGTCGCGCGCCCTGGCAAAGAGGGAAGCTAAACCCTGCACCTTAAATGGAAAGCAACCAGAGGAGGTTTTGACGTCACAGCGGCGGGCACAGACCACTGGAGATCCAATTTTATCGCAGTTTGGGGCTTAGGGATCCCCTTCATCTTGCGATCCGTATTGGAAAAGAAGGTGCTCAGCAATCAGAGACCTGCTTTATGACAGACGTGACCCGGAATCCTCGAAAAACATCCCCCTAAGCTCAGCCAGCACCTGACTGCCCTCTTTCATGTAGTACCTCGGGAGCGGGGGGTTTACAAGCGAGAGCAAGGTGTTGGAGCATAAAGTCAGGGCACATGTCAATAAACTATGAAACCTTATGGCAGAATACTTGTGTTTATTCCAACCGCTACAGTAAACCAGAATGCTAATCCCAATAGTGTTTGTACAAACATTGAGGGGTGAAGACATGCAGAACAATACTAGGCAACAGAAAAATATGACAAGAATGATCATGCCAATCCATAATACTGACCCCTTCATGTAGCAGCCATCAGAACAACAATGTCACTAATGTGCCCCTATTAAAGCAGAACGTGCCGAAATACGGGCATGGAAACCTATACTATGAACATACCGACCCTACGAAGGCCCCCATCTGACCACTCTTCGATCTCTGGAAACTCTTCACCCTCAACCCTAAAATTGAAGCCCCAAACCCTAAACTCTAAACCCTGAACCTTACACCCCTTGCACCCTTGCACCCCTAAACCGTGCGGCCTAGGCGCTCCTCGGCCTCCACCTCCATGCCTCCCACAGATTTCAGCTGCTGAAGAAACTCGAAGGCGGAGATTTCGTCGGTGGAAACCTCTAGTGTGTTGGGTTTAGGGTGTAGGGTGTTTCGGATTTAGAGAGATTTGTGGATAGCTTTCGTAGGACGTTGATGGCCTTGTGGTGTATTTCGAAGGATTTCTCCACTTCCTCAGTGGGCATGTTCGTCTCGGAGTTCGAATTTCTCGCCAGTCACCACTTTGTAGGGTTTAGGGTTTTTGGTAGATCGGGCTTTTCGGATGTTAGGATCCGGCGAGAGGGCGATGCGTTTTCAGGGTGTTCAGGGATTTTCAGGGGTGTTACAGGTTCTTATAGGGCTTGCTTTTTGCTTAGAGGTTTGTTTGCTCGGGCTTACGGGGCTTCATGGTTTGGGGTTGGGCATAGCAAACAGGAGCCTCAATATCAAAGCTTTTGGTGGTGCAACTCCTCGAAATTTGCATGCCTCGAAGTTGAGCCCGCTGGAACCATCATCAACGGACATACAACACTCTTGGAGCCCTGTAAAGGATGATCTACAGATCGCTACTTCCTATAGGAGACCTGCAAGACTCCCTTATGATTGGACACGTCATCAAGCCCAGGCTTCAGAAGCCTGGAGTGCACCGTTTACAGCCTCCCGAATTACGATGAACCGGCAGCTGTGATGTTCAGGATGTATGCACACTTTGACGACACTGACAACAGTAACGTTAGACATAAGAAGATCATAAGGATAGCGGAACGGCAATGACAATGAAAGCGATCGCAATAGTGCTACAGTGGATAGTACCAATCTCGACCATGCTGATCGTGACAAGCGTACTGCTGGTACTATTCGCGATAGTAGTACGAATGGTGGGAACCGCAGTAAACAAGCCCGATAAGACTGCTGCTATCAAGGCGATCTTGATGACCGAACGATTTTGACCCTGAAGCCGCCCACATCTAGCGGATGGCTGCGACTGGGGTTCGTGTCTCTTGCTCAGTCTTGCTCCATTAGACACTCTTTCTGTGAGCGCACCTCCTCAGCCTTCAGGGTTGTTATCTCATGTAGGGGCCTCAATGACTAGAACAGAGTTTTAGAGTCCATTTTACTATAAATAGAATAAGGAATACCAAAAGTAGATTTGGCAGTTTTTTACGCCCATATATTAAGGTTGCTTTTCGGGCCTCAGGCGGATTTGGTTCCAGGATAGACTTCTGGACTGTATGAGTTGTTTGCCATGGGGCTCTCGGGACCCTCTCTCACCCACAACCCTCATCCCCTAAGCCCTAAGCCCTCCGCCCTAAACCCTAATCCCTAAACCCTACGCCCTAAATCCTAAGCCCTAAGCCCAAAGCCCTACCTAAGCCCTAAATCTTGAGCCCTAAAGGCTGGCTGGGGACACATAGCTCTGATTGGGCCATGAGCGACAGCACTGACCGCGAAGACTGCAGAAAAGTCTTCTGACCTGGGAGTTTCAGAAAGAAGCCACGGTTAAGCGTTTAGGGCTTATGATGTAGGGTTTGGGGTTTGGGGTTTAGTGTTTCGGGTTTATAATGTAGGGTGTGGGGCTTGGGGTTTTAGGGTTCAGGGTTTCGGGTTTGGGGTTGAGGGAAGGATCTGATATGGGCAAGTGGATCCCTAAATGGCAGGATCCTGGTTCTGTTTTAGGGCATTCGGGGTCGAATTGCTGATGGTTTCTGGGCTTTGAGTTTCAGTTTTTTCAAGTTGGGGACTCACTTTGGGGGTTAAGGTGTAGGGTTCAAGGTTCAATATCTCCGGTCGTGTTTCCAACTCTCCTTTCGGCCTTCCAGTCCTTTATACGTTGAGAAGTAAGGATTAGACCGCTTGACATGCCGACGACGTTTGCGCCGTCAAAACAGCCAGGGAGCGGAGTCCTAATTCTGAAGACGGATCGGTCACATATCTTTTCAGATTGACCTCTGGAGTGTACATGAAGCCCAGCCCGGATTTGCTAGGTCAGAAACCCCAGTAACGGTGCGTATGGCACTCAGTATCCCCTCCTGTGTTAGTTCCCGGCCGGTCATCCTTAAAGCCCCAATTAACACACGAAACCCTAAACCCCTGAACCGAAAACCTGAACCCAAGGCCCTAGACCCTTGAACCTAGACCCGTCACCCTTAAACCAAAACCCTCATCCCTAAAAACCCTATAAACCTACTGCGTCCAAGCAACGCATAAGCTCAGAGAGGCTGATGGTGTCGAGCTTATCGAGGTCCCTCATT